TAAATAAGTTGGAAAAGATACTGCATAAACATTCGAATTAAAATTTAGCCTATTGTTACTTATAAATTTTAAGAAAATTATTGCCGCATATTGATCACATGGTATTTTATGATTCGGTATTAAAGCTTGCATGGTAAGCTTTTTTTTTTTTTTGTGGCACATCGATTCAGTAACATGGCAAGCACATTTTGCACCTTGAAAGATGCTCCTCGCATGCAACTTATCAGTTTACGCTTCTGGCACCTGGCAAATTTATGAGCAACTAAGCCTACAAACCAGCACTTCAGAACTTTATGAGCTTACTCAAAAAGCTCCGTGAGTGATTTCACAAAAAGTCAGTTCAGTGGTTAGCTCAGCTGTTGGACATCAGCAATGCCCAAGTTCTGGTGACGCTCTTGGCAATGTATCACAACCTCCATTGAATAGGTCCTTGATTATGAGGCTTTGCATAGGAATTTCCGTAAGTTGTCTCTGCTCAGCATCAAGCAATGAACATCGGGTTAAGCCTAATACACACAGTCAACAAACTCTCCAGTGCCGTGGCATCTGTCTATTTTATCGCCTCCTTCAAAAATGGGATGATTAGTGGAGATGATTATTGCATTTTGCCAAGGTTTTTTTTTAGCATAAGCAGAGGAGGAAAATGTTGATGCCATGACGGTGACTAAAGAGTTGATGGCTGCGTGAACTGGCCTTGAGCCTAAAATTTCAGATTGTAACACAACAGTACAGCTCTTCTTGGCAGTTGGACCTCGGCGCCTTCATCGTGAGTTTTTGCGCTAGTACACAGAAAACTGCACTTGCACAAAACAGTGCTTGACAAAGCTTCCCTTCTTTTTTGTACTCTTGTACGGAATGGTCATTGACCAGTCAATATAGAAATGTAAGTGAGGGCTTGAAAAAATTAAATTACACAGCAAATGCTCTCAAAGTGCTTGCAAAGCATGACTGAAGTGCTGCAAGTCTGCCTTAATGAAACACTACTAAAAGGGAAAAACAACTTCTATTTTATTAGAAAATTATGAGCTTTTAGAATAGAATGCTGAAAGCACTACTTGTTGCCATCACAAAACACGTAAACTGAAAATACAGGCAATGAGGTTGTCTCAGTAATAGAGTTTCTCACAAATGCCTAGAGGGGAGTGTGGGGCCATCCGTCTATGCGAATTTCTTAAGGGTGACATTGGAGCGCTGGGAATGACGGTGTATGTGTCTGCAAGGCTTGTGTTGGCTGGTGTTGAGCGAGGCTTCGGCTCAAAAGCAAATATGACTGCGTAAATGAGGCTGTTCTAAAACAAAATGTTGATAAGCGGATCTCATTCACGCGTATAAATAAACGTCCACTCACCTTTACAGCACAACCAAATGGGAAGGAAAGGAACAGACGGCATAAATGTGGCAGAAGAAACGCTTGCTTTGTCGTCTGCCTACCAAGTTTAGCAGCCGTTGGTTACTTCTTACGCTTCGTAAAATTGTACATCAACGTAGAAGTTTCCAAAGTTAAATACAACGCGTTTCTCTGCAATGACTACGTGCTCTTCTAGTAAGAAATCAATCATTTTAACATGAAGCCAAGGTATACAAATCCGAGGTATACAAATCCTAGTCAAGTTCAAAGCTCTCGTATCCCGTCATTCCCTTGCATCCAGCAGCTCACTAGCGCCAGATTTCCCTCTAAATATGATTGTGAGAAACTCTATGGTCTCGGTATTCCTGCACCAGCTTGCCGTGACGTCATAGGTTTAGATGCCAGTTGGCAGGGACTACATATATGCTTGTCAGCTAAAGTAATTGCATTGTGTTCTATGGAACAAAAAGTAGTGAGCTTCAGAAAATTTTATTGAGCCATTGTGGCCAAAATACGAAAAAGGACTTTTTTTCTTTTTTGAGATGCTTGTTTCTTTGTTGGACACAACCAAATAAATCCATGAGACAGGCCAAGGAAAGCATAGGTGAGAATAACTATAAGTGTGGTGTAGTAATTATTGCGTGAAATAAAGTGAATGAGAAATCTTTTTCGTTAGTGGCATCTAAACCTATAATCGTTCAATTACTATTCAGTGCAGAAATTTTGGTTAATTGGTGGGTGGGAAACTTGTGCGTCTTGGCAAGTGCAAGAGAACAAGTGCAGAGGAGACCACCCTGTTTACATGCCTCTTTTTGTTCTGTTGCACTTGCCAAGATGCAACATGTCAATTTACATCATTGAGAACTAGCAGAGAAGAAAGCTTAGAGAAGTATGGTGAATTCAATTACTAGTAACTACAATGTAAATGTGAAGAAGTAAAGGTGGACGAAATGATAACTTGCCGCTGGCAAGGATCAAACCTGCAACCTTTAAATAACGCGTCCTATCCTCCAACAATTGAGCTATAGCAGCGGTCATTCCCCTTGTCCACTATATGAGGTTTATGTGTACATTTATAAACTTGAGCACGCATAAACCCAATAAAATGGAGGTGAGATGACTGCTGCTGATGCTCAGTTGTTAGAGCATAGGACACGTTATTCGAAGGTCGCGGGTTTAATCTTGCCAGCGGTAAGTCGTCATTTCGTCCACTTTTATTTCTTCACATTTACATAGCACTTACTAGTAATTGCATTTCCCATACTTCCCTAGGCTTTCTCGTCGTTGAGTTCTCGTTAATATTGAGCTTACAAAAATAAGAAGGTAACAAGCCCTTAAAGCTTTCTGTTTTGTGTCAATTTACGTGTTATTTGAAGGTTGAGTTCCGCCTTTTAAAAGAATGTTTCTTCGTGTACTTCAATCAATTTAAATTTATATCATAATCATTACTCTACAGTTAGACAACAAACAATGTCCTCTCTAACTTCCTCTGTTGAATTCATTTCGTTGCAAAAAGACGAAATTCTTAACTGAAGTTTTGGTGCAAAATTCAAACACAAAACTTTAACCTTAGTTTTCCCTTTTTTATTAATTTATCTCTCTTGATTTAATGTTTTTAGTGTGCCATTGAGGAGTTGCTACCTCTTGAAAACTGTCACATAATTGCCCTTGTACTGATACTTATACTGTTGCATAAAGAGTGCTGCTGTGTGTACTTAATATGACTGCCTAAATGATTAGCTCACAAATTTTAAACATGGAGCATTTGATAGTGGGTCCAGTTTATTACAACATTTGCAAAGCATCGATTGGCTGTTTTGTTCGAAACTGAGCTGAAGTTTGTAACATATCCAGTGAGGTCGGTTTGAAAGCAGTGGTGTAATGCAACAGTGGCGCCATCTGTCACAGCCATTGGGAAGTGGTAGCAACAGATTGCATCACCTTTAAACTGCAGTATAATCTCTTCAATTTAACCTGGCATCGTTGCAGAAGACATGCATTTTCGCTTTACAGTTTATGGGCAACATTTAAACAGGAATTGTCCAGCAGTTTATTTGGCAGGAGTCATGTACACCTTATGGTTACACTTAAACGGTTCGTGCAAGACTTATCTACAGTTAGCAGCATTATTAGACCAGATTAGGACGAAAAACCAATGCTTCAGGACGAAAAACCATGCTTGGCCAAACATGGTAAAGTCCACAGCTTGAAAAACATATCAGCTCTACCTACTGATGAACTATAAAAAGTTATGCATGTATATATGCTGGAAAAGAGTGTGCAGCATCAGCGTTTAGCATTCCTTAATAATCTGGTAGAAAGTTAGTCCTCGCTCGAACTTGCTAATTTCATGTCATTTTTATGGCAATTATGTCATGCAGCAAGAACCAACTAAGTCATAAACGAGTTCTGCTGAATGTAAAACTATTTTTTTGACATCCAAAAGTTGGAATAATTTGGAGCAGTGACAATACTGCTTTGTGGAAGTGCAGAACCAGAAAATGATTTTTTTTTTAACCTTTTGCCATGGGCAGTTTGCAGCCATATATCATATCACAGTGCTCTGTGCAATGTGACATCTATATATCTACCTATATATCCACCTTATCTTAAAGAGGTGGAGCTTATAGACGAGCTTGCTGCATCTCTCAAAAGACTGTGTAGCTGAAACAGTAAAAAGAAATGCGAGAGTGCATTTGAATAGAATGAAGTGTCTTATAACAAACTAAAAAAAATATTTAAACTCTAGGTAATTAAGGTAAGCTGTGGTTTGCACATTTGAATAACGCGCAATACTACTTTAGAGTGATGAAGTTGCTAGCAAAATTTTCTGTGACCACACCTTGTGACGAGATCTACTAAGCTACCATTATTCTTTATTGGAAGCCTTTCTACATAATTCCGTGCAAGCACAGCTAAAAATAAATGGCGTATCTCAACTGAAAAAAATAAAGAGGTGACATTGTATTAGCAAAGTTTAATTGAATAAAAAAAATAAAATCAATCTAGGCATGTGCAGAAGTGTGTACTGTAGGTTGCTGCTATGATCCACTAAGTATTCTAGGTTGCAGAATGTTTTCCCTGTAGAACTGTCCAAATTGGAGGCAGTATCTTACAAGCGTGTGTGAGTAAAGTGCAGTGTCTAAAGAGGGTGATTAACCTCTAAAACTAAAGGTGTAGCCTATACATTTTGTGTTAACTTTTGCACTTAAAATCATAAGATTGAACTGTTGAAACACATCAGAAATAGCTGCTTGGCAAATGGCTATTTGGCTAGGCAAGTATCTTAAATGCTTGCTACAAATGTTAAAGCATAACTCAAACATGGTTTGGTCAAGACATAACTAGGTAGGTAAAGTAAAGAGTGAAGGTTCTATGAATTAAATTTGCTTGTTAAAATGCTTCTCCAGTTTCTGGAGATAAGCTACAGCCTGCATAATATTAGCTAGTGTTGTTTGAACCACATTAACCCTTCATTTGACTGTTTTATAAATTTTGGTCAATTTAACATGATATGCTGAACCAAACTATACACCAAGCGACCTCGTAATGAGAGTAGCAAAGACTTGTGTGCATCTTTCAGAAGACATGCACAGTATTTAAGATGGTTGCTGATTGACCGGGGCTAATCATGATCATTTTGTGTGTGCAGCTAAGTTCGAGTCATTTGACTATGGCCATGGGAAAAGTGCAGAAGATAAACGGCAACTGCCTCAAGGTAAGAATGTCGCCCTAGTGTTGCGTTAGCATGATACGACTATATTAAATTTCGCACCCTGATATGTTGTTTTAAATAATAGACTATATTAAATTTCGCACCCTGATATGTTGTTTTAAATAATAGAGAATTATTTGATTTCACCGTTTCAGTGTTTTGCCAAATTATCAAACAGTCATATTTTGTCAATGCTGGCAAATGGTAACAGCTTCATTTCTTTTAAATCTTATTTCAAGACCAAAAATAGTTTTTTTTTTTTTTTTGCAAACTTCTTGTTATAATTCTGCTTGTATCTCATACATCAAATTTTGCAACTTAGGAGCGTCGTGTACGAACAGAGCAGAAATTCGCATATTCAGTGGAGCCCATGACCCATGAACTTTTGCTGCCAATATTGCCTGTATTATCTGAAGCTATATTGCCTCTGCAGTCTTCAGTTTTGTTGACATTGGGTTTTGATATGATTGACAAGCTTTCTTTTCAACACCGAGGCACTCTGATTTGCTTACATAACTTGTTTTTACTAGTTTTGTCGACTAGTAGCTAAGAAAGAGCTTGATACATTGCGGTGTAGATGAAATGAACCTTCTAATAAATATTCCAATTGAGATTCACTTTGCTGTGCACTGTTGCAAATTACTGCTTTGCTGAAGACATCGACAATGTTTGATGGGCTGTTCAAACTATCACCTTCTGTGAGCCATGTCAAAAGCTTTTTTTTTTCCTCTCTACCAGTTGAGTAGGCGGTCATTTGCTCCTCCACACAACAAGTTGTCTAGACCTCAGGCCATCACGTTTAGAATTCTCCAGACCAGGTCCTATCCAAGCTTATTTTTCTCAGCATAGTCTCCTCAGAGGCTTTTGACTTTACTTTTCCTGATTGTGGTGAGGTTAGTGACTTAGCACATATGCTCTGGCAGTGCCCCTCGTTACGGGGCACAAGTTGGCTCACACAAGAATGGGACTCTGCATTACGAAGTTCAGAGTTGCTACCACAACTACGGGCTGTCCAGAAAGCCCGTGATGCGACGGTGAGGCTAGGCCTCCTTGTTCCTACGTGGGAGCGGCCCGCTACGTTGCTTTAAAGGAGTAGCGTCTCCCAGGACCCAATAAAGTTCTTTGTCTGTCCTGTCTAAATGAATATAATGAAAAACAAAATTGCTCTGTATATTTAGTCTGATATTGGATTCTATTTATGAAAAAAACAGTACATGTATGACTTCAGGATGTATAATTACAATTTAATTAAGATTGATTACAATCAAACTTAAATTAGTATTATGACATTATTTTGCTGTAGTAGAATTGAGTGACTTGAAGTAGTGTTGCGTAAATTTGACACATTAGCAGACAGTCGTTATAAGAGGTTGTTGGCACAACATTTCGAAGAGGTGTTCTGGCAAATTTTGAAGGTGACATAACTTGGGGACGTATGGATTTGTGTGGACACACATGCATCACCTACGAAATGGCAACAGACGATATCAACGGAGTCTACAACACGTTTAATAGTTAATTCTAAGTGTGTGTTATGCCACTAACCGCGAAATGCGCTTTTAGCTTTTCGGTAAGCGACCAACCGGCCCCTGCATCGCGAGATTGTGTTGGCTGCCACAATGTATTGCTGGCACTCTCTTTGGGCAGACCTTTTCAAAGGAAAGAGGGGGCAGACTTGCACGGAAGTACAAAGACTTATGTGCACCTTTTGGGGATCCACATGTTTTTACAAGGACTCAGAGGTAATCGTAACAGCACCCAAGAAACCTTCGTTCAAAAAGGTTGTCGACTCGGTGCATATGTGCCAATGATTTCCTCTGGCAATGTAGCCAGCTATGCTTACACAAAATCCACTCCGTGTTTCGTGTCACTCGGTGTTGTTTTAAACTCAAACTGCAACTGGGCACTCTGAAACCTTTTCCAAATAGTTAACCATTGCTTGCTCAAGCAAACAAGTTTTCCAGCCGTGATAAGCAGGACCATTAGCTACGTATTGCACTGGAGGGGGGGGGGGGGGGGGGGGAAGATGCAAGATATTTGTGTCAGTGGTCCTTTAACAGAGCTCTGGCTGTTTTTTTTTCCCGGCTGACGCAGTGATGGATTATGGTCATGGAGCACCATTACGCGAGCGCAGGCCCATCTTCGACGACCTTGACCTTCCACCGGCATTCCGAGACGACGACTGTCGTCCTTGTACACCAGAACCGCCTCCGCCACCACCTGCGCCTCCGGAACCGCAAGTAGTCTCTGTCGAAGACCTCCTGGGGCTACCTGGTCGCGAGTCGCGTCCTCCGCTGCTGTGTGTAGTCGTGCGTGGCCCTCCAGGCTCGGGCAAGTCGTTCCTGACGCGACTGCTGAAGGAACGCGAGATGGGCGCTGCCGGGAGCGTGGCACCACGGGTGCTCGCTCTTGACGACTATTTCATGCAGGAAGTGGAGGTGTCCGAACTGGATGCAGACACAGGCAAGCGTGTCAAGCGGAAGGTGAGTGGCTTCATTTTATTACTATATGTGGAGATGGGATTCCCTCGTAGATTCACAACTTGTCAAGTGAATTCAAAGCTGCCAGTGCCTTTGTGAAAGTTGTGGGCTATAAATTGGGAATCGCCTGCTGATTAATGATAGTTTGCGGTGCTGTAACTTGGGAAATGTAATCTCAAGTTGGTGCATTCGTAGTAGAATTTAAGTTGTGGGAGGTGCTACTGTGTTAAAGAGGTACCACTGGAACAACTTGAGGTGGTCTTGTTTCACAGTAAAGACCGAGTCCTCAAGATCCTAGAAGTGCTGGTAAGCGCGAGTGCAGCCTGAAAAATTGATTGCATCTTTTTAAAAGCTACTTCCCTGACATGAAGGCACTCTATGGGCTTCTCGTCATGTGCTCGCGCAAGATATCATGATGTTTCCACGCCCTCTTTGTTGTGTGGCTCCATTCATAATAGACAGTGTTGCCAGACATTACCATAGTGTCATTGTCTATAGGTAAGTCATGCCGAAAATATACGCACATTATCAGCGTTCTCTGGGCTTCACACTTGCTCAGAGCTGTTTCTGTATACAGGAGATTTATATGGCGCAGTAAACTCTGCTTTGAATATTGGCGTCAGTACTTCTTTTTCTTGTCACCTAGCATTAAAAACCATCGTGATTTCTCTCAGCGTCAATGCTGTATATCTGGCGTGTCTCTATCTGGAGAGTACTTGCCGTTCATACAAGAGCAGCAACTAAAATTATAAGAGTTTGCTGGAATCGCACACCAAGGTATACACTACTTTATTAAAGTACAAGGCTGTAATGTGCTCCATAATGAAAACAGTGTTTAAGGATTCTTTTGAAATGGTGTCATGCAAGAAGAGCATTTGGCATCTGCTGAATTCAGGGCAGCTCATAGTTGAAGAAATAGGTGTGATGCACTACCACTACAACTGCAGGAGTGTGTGCATTGTTTCTTTTGCAGTGATCTTATTAATAAAACCAGCATTTGTCTCACCTTGTCCAAACAATCTTGTACAAGTGTTCTCATTGTGTGAGGGATGGTTGAGCAGCTCTTGAAGATTGTGAAATCTGTAGTATTCTAGGCTGAAGAAGCAATCGACAAGAGTGGCTGTTCTCCTAGGCTCCTTGAAGTTCACAAGTGCCACAAGTGCTCTTTTTCTTCCAGGAGTTTCGCTACGAGTATGAAGCAGAGATGGAGGATGTTTACTTTAGCAGTCTACTCAAATCATTCCGCAAGACGGTGGATGGCCGACTTTTCTCTTTTGTGCTGGTCGACGCGGTTCTGGCGCGACTAGAGCAGCTGGAGCAGTTCACAAACTATGCACGCCAGAATGGATTCCAGGTGTACATCTGTGAGCCCGATTGCCTGGATGCCGAAGAGTGCCACAGGCGCAACGTGCATGGGCGCTCCCTTGAGGACATTCAGCGGGTATGTTTTGAACGGTGTTTATCCCGACTGGACAGCTGCTCACTGTTCCTCTCTTTCACAGATTGTGGACTCGTGGGAGCCGGCACCTAGGCAATACCCCCGACTTGATTGCAGCATACTTCTTAATGAAATGGAAGACATGGTAAGGAAGAGCAGGTCTCTCAGTCTGTGTATGATTGTAGTTGGGTACAACTTTCAAGAAATTCATCTTGCCCTGAAAGCAAGGCAAATTTGCGCTTGCAGCAAGATGAATAAATGAATGCAACAAGAACTAATTGGAATGTTATACTTCGAAGTAAGGCCAGGAGCTAACTCTTTTGAATCCGATCTCGCACAACTCTACGCAATGCTGGCGAAGGCCAATAGGGCTGCTTCTATGAGCAAAGCAATTATCATGCTGTCTATTTCCTCAACACAGAATAAACAGCGAGAGTACAATGCACATACAAGGTTTTAGTGATGTTTACCTATACAGCATACACGCCAGCGCTTGCGACCGTGCCCTTACAATCGAATCGATCAAAAGTTCGTAGTTGTTGGTTGAGCAACACAGCCTTCCTGTGCAGCAGCACCCTGTCGAATCCTTCACCCAGCAAAGGATGGCGTGGGGTGTTTCCTCTCTGCTTGACAAGCCCTTCACGGCAGAGCTCGCATGTAGAGCATTGTTGCATGTGTTCTTCGTGCAACAGAGGCAGCCAGCTCTTTTTACCTCAGCATGTTCAGAGCACTTGCATAGTTTGACTAGCTTGTAGAATGTACAATGTATTGGGGGATGTTATCAATTTGGATTTTATATGAAACATAATGACAAAATCTAGCTGAAAGTGTCAAAATAATTGCTATCCCCATAGAAGTCGGGAGCAGGCTCTGCCCGAATGATGGCAGCCGGTTGCTTGAGCTGCTAAAATATTAGTCCCGCACATGAACTTTCCGATCTTTTCCTAAGGTCTTTAAAGTGAGAATTTTGTATACGCCCGTTGGTACAGTCTTGTGTGCATCCCCCTTTGAAAAGAACATGCCGCTGACTATTAAACTTGTGCCTGACTAGAGTTTTTTTGAAACGGAAAAAGTGTGATTGGCAATAAAGGCGGAGGTCACTGTGTAATTTCCGTTAAAATGTCTTGCAACTGTCTTGGTGACAATTTAAGTATAATACTTTGCTTCATTTGACAAAGGCACTTCTGCCTTTGACATTAACATTACACTACCATCTCCATGACTCGTTTTCAGAGACTGAATCTTGGAAATTTTACCTAGGTGGAGGGACAACCTAAATAAGTGCTGTGACTGCTGCATAAGCCATGGTCAAAGAAGGGAAGTCCACAGAGCCAGCATTTCCAAGAAGCGAGCTGTCTTGATTGGGCCTATATTAAAATAAGACTTTTTGTTGAAACGTTGGCTGCTGCCCAAAACATGGCTTATTGGACCACTATCCGTTACTGGGGGGGGGGGTCTCTCGTCTGAAATAGAGGCCATCAGTAGCCAGAATCTGCAACTTTCCCAAATCGCAGGATGGAGAGTTGCCGCCAGCTGATAGTCAAGACAGTGTAGCTGGTGGTGGTAGTGAAGGCGACGGCAACGATGCAGCTGCACCTAAAAAAGAAGAAAAAGAAGAAGAGGAGGAGGAGGAGGAAGATGAGCCCGTGAGTATTGCTGGGAAAGGGAGCTGGCTTGAACCCATAAGGGACTGGAAAAACATGTTCCGATTCATGGGAGTCATAATTGCCGAGAAACAGAGATAACTGCTGAGAGAGATGCATCGAGGTGCTGCACCCTGTATCATGCACCCTGTCAACCTTGTTAGCCTTGGCGTAGTCAGAGAGGGTTCTATTGGTAATTTTTTTTCCTTGTGTGTGAGTTAAATCCCTTTATAGGAGGCATGCCCTGGGCAGCAATTCTTGCCTTTTATATGAGATGTTTCTTGTAAACAGGGAACTTCGTAGGGATTTCATTATCAACTCATATTTTACTGTAGGCACACTGGCATCTTATGCCCATTTGTCTCTTATATCAGTGTCTCCTATAGAGAGGTTCGACTATGCACACACAGTGCTCTTACTGTCTCTACTTCGTTCTTCTTGCTTTTAAGCCGGTGCCACGTCTTTCAAGGAACGATGTGCCAACTGGCCCAACATAGGGAAATGCATAAAGGGTTCTTAAAATTCCCCAAGCCCCTGAAAAAGATTTATGGCTACACCCCTGCTTGTTAAGTATGTTAAAGGGGCCCTGCAACATTTTTTGGGCACTGTCAGAAAACGCTGCTGATGGGTAGTCGAGGCTCCTGTAGTGTTAACACGCAAGTCGAGCATTACAGCGCAGCGCATGGCCTAGAATTTACAGCCGATTCTCAAGGTCAGTTATAAATCCCCTCTCTTTTTACAAATGATGTCATATTCCCAAATTACTGTGTCATACACTCAAAAGTCCAGAGGTGTTGGCTGATTTAGGCATTGCAAGCTTCATAGTGCCGCTGCTGCCGTGTGCCGCATGTGCACTCCCAATTACAATGATAGTAAGCTGCATGTTCGAAGAAAAAAAAAAGTGCTCCAGATCATGATGCGCATTGACGAAGAGATGCATCTTCTTGCCCCTTTGTCATCTCTCTTCTTGCGGAGTTTTCAGAGTGCTCGCTGGAACGAAAAAAGAGAGGAAGCGCGTGCGACAAATCCTTGTTACACTGCTCGTACTTAACAAGCTAGGAAATTTTTTGTGGCTTGCAATTCGTGAAACGTCATGCTGTAATAGTGAGACTATAACTTGGAAAAGTGTTGCAGGACCTCTTTAAATACAGAGGAGTGAATGTGGCAGCTAGGTTGTCCTTGGTGCGAGGGCTCTTCACGAGTATTTGGACGGAGTTCTGTGCTGTTTTCAATGGCAAGGTGTCAGTGACATTTTAAAAAACAGCAACGGCTCTTCGTTTTCACATTCATGACTGAATGACAAGCAGTTTTGCCCGGAGAGCATTTGTCACCATTTGAGGCAATGTTCTGGGTAGAGTACAGGTGCTGCAATGTTTCTTTCAGATTGCTGCTTTCATCCTTTATAGCCAGCTTCTGTGGTAATATTTAGAAAAAGCTTCAAAAGCTTTGCTTTGTTCAAATGCAAAACCAACCTAGTTAAAAGGCTTGTCCTGGCTAAACTAAACTGTTCGAGTGATTTGTGTTTACTGGGTTATGCTGCACTCTTGAAGGTCCACAAGCCAAGCCGATGGGAACTGATGACGGAGACTACGAGCAGCGGAGAGCGACTGTGTAAGTGTGCGACCTCTAGGTTGCACAATGTGGCACTCACGCCAGCTCTCTTCTCCTTGCAGTAAAACTGGACGGCCTGAGTGGCCAGAAGCTGAAGCACACCTCGATGGATGACTATCTGCAGCTGCCCGACGACTATGAGGAACGTCATAGTGAGCCAGGCAAGAAGCGGGTGAGTGTGGATATAACTGGCTTCTGTTGGCTGCACAGATTGGCGTGAAGACTCGCTCACACTTGCGATGGCTTCAGCTTTTAGTTGCTCGGTGCTTGATTTTTTTTATTTGTGCAACTGCAATCACAAATGGTTGAACCAGTCGGAGGCATAGGAACAGGAAACCAGCATATTTTACTGCATAGTGGCAACAGATATAAGCCACACACAGGTGCGAACATCAGTTGCTTTAAATGGATTTCTGGTCTACAATCGTAAATAGTCGTGCAACCAGTGCTAGTCGTAGGGTGTGGATGAGCCTTTAAGGTAAAAATCTTGTGAGATAAAAGCATGACAGATGATTATAATACAGTAGACTGGCGATAATTTGTTTTGATAATTCATACCTTTGGTTAACTCAAACAAAATTAAATTTTTTGGTTGGCCCTCTATACTTTCAGTGTTTTTAAAAGCCTCTTAATTCAAGCACATCATTTGCTTAATTCATACATTTTGCAGTTTCATACCGGAAAATATCTGCTGCTTTCTCACCACTATTTAAAAATTTGCGTGCTTATATAATTCTAGCAGTCTAAATAAAAATGACAAATAAGCACATTAGGCCTTTTAGGAAAAAGGCTGTGCTAGTAAACAAATGTCTTAAATGACGCACACGCATGGTAAACCATGATGCTTCTCAACTGGTATAGAGAGGTCGGTACTGAAGGCACATATAGCAAAGAAGCTGTTGGCAATTCACGATTTCTTTAAAAGGTCTGATCAGAGGCAAACGGCCATAAACTTGTAGACCTTACACCTCTGCTTCTGGTTCATTGGGTGCTGTTAGGGTTTAAAAACACTTGAAAAATATTTAAATATGATAATATCAGTGCCTGTGTGGTGTCACCTAGCCCAGATTCATATATCTGAGAGATTTTGATAGTTCATCAAACTTCTTGGTAATTAAACAAAATTCTGAGGGTCCTCTAAGAGTTTGAATTAATGAGAGTGGAATAACGATCTGCAATTAAGACGAAGGCATTAGCGAAGGCTGACCAGCAATAGTTAATTAGTGAAAGCTAATTAATACTTGTCACACGGGGGAAAAGTCAAGTACTTTGAAGTAAACTCCTTTCGTCGGCAAAAGGGACCATTTGCAGGAAGGAGTTGCGCTGATGACGCATGACACCACACTACTGCTTTATGTGGTTCCCCAAAAGAGCGCTGCAGAAAACATGGTGTTGCTTATATATATATTGTAAGAAACCTGTGCATGTGCAGTTCTCACAGATTCAAACCAGGCATCAAGTTTTCAGGCATAACGACTGGTATGTGTACCAGATCTTGATAACCAGATCATGTCACGACGAAGCCTCAAAAAGTAATGCTGGCTCTAATCTAGGCATTGGAATCGAGGTTACACTGATAATACCTAAACTGAAGATGGTGGAAAAAAGTATTCGCGTCGTTTAGTCCTAAATTTTTCTCTTTCAATCCGTGAGGACTGTACATCACATTGAGAGATATCGGAGCATAAAGAGGATTTTTTCAAATTTCTGACAGCTTTCAGTGCATATACTCATAATTTTCTTTCTCTTTTTCCTTAAAGCAGCAACTTTAATTCATCTGGCAAGTATGAACAGTCGGCGTCTTGCCGACCTTGTTTTTGTGATGCTTTTTCATGGCTCTTCAGTGACGGCATGCCGTGTTTCATCGTGATTATAGTGAACTAGAATTGTGATTCTGCGACGGCTCAGCGGAGAGGCACATGTACACGAGTTTTTTTAAAAGAGCACAGAGACGTGCCTTCACATCGTTAGGGCGAACAAGTGCTCACAAGAGAAGAGAGTGCCAACAAAGTACAGCGCACAGCTGACACACTTCTTACGTGCTTCTCACCAAGCTATTTTGTAGGGCACAGACCAGATACGGCAGGTACGCCATTGAGTGTCTCCTTTCGTATACTGGCAACACACAGCTACTTCCACTGCAAACACCAACATGACAAATCTAGTGATGTGATGCAGGCATTTGAAAGTGTAGGTAGAGTGTAAACCTTCAATCTTCAACAAATTGCACGACTGCTTAAAATTAAAACTTTTTATCAGCACAAAAAAAAATACTAACAGGGCACTGCAGTGTTGCAAGTTGCAACTTGTTTTCTTCTATTGAATAATTGTGCCCACGGTATTCGAGCGTACACTCAAACCTCAATATAACAACCCAGATATAACAAAATATCACTTATAACAAAGTAAATGAAGAATAGTCTTGCAATAGTGTTAGGAATATTCCCTTACAACAAATTTTTGGATATAAACGAGTTTATTTTTGTGTAAGATGCAACTTGTTTGTAATGGGGTTTGAGTGTACTTCTTTCCCAGCCAAAAAGATGTGGGATTTGCCTTTCCAAAAAGTATCTTTGTCAGAAAGGAGTTTGTCCTCTATTGTGTGTCATTACCCATCAACGCCTTTTAGGAAGACATCCCCTTGTCTACAGAACTAGGGCGCCCAAGTGTCAGGGATATAATAGAATTTGGCACTGAAGAGCGAAAGCTTGGAAGGAAAAGAAAGCCACTTAAAAGAAAGTCTTCCTTTCCTTCCATGCCTTCGCTCTTCTATGCCAAATGTCGAACCAACTAGCCAAACGATTCGCTATATTGAAGTATATAATAGAACTGCAACACAGGGGTGGACGCCAAAAATAGGCACACTGGATGAGGAGCTCTGTTTGTTGATAGTGGTGATAGGTTGAACCACAATGTAACGAAATGTCGGTGATGAGGGAGTAAACGAAAATAGTCTTAACATTGCTACAGCGTACTGAATATGTATTTATGTATAACAATATTTCAGATATAGCAACTTCATTTTCATGTTTGATACACCTTCAGAAATAATAAGGTTTGTCTGTTGGGTGATAAGGACTTCACGGGGTGAAAGCAGTCTCTAGAAGAATGAATAATAACTGAAACTAAAGAAATAAAACATATTAGTGCATTGTATTTTTCAAGTGGTATTGACAAAAAAAAAAAAACTTTCTGTACGCTCCCCTGCCTTCTTTTTATTTGATTTGTATTATTTATTTTTGTCAAGTAAGAGGTTTTAAGAGACTACAAAGTGTACTGGTAAGTGCGAGTGCACCCTGAAAAGTAATTACAGCACGTTTTTAAAAGCTAGTGTTGTTTCCTACTGCACCCTGACGACACAACCTACTAAGAACTTCTCATCGCGTGCATGTGCTAGGTATCACGACGTTTCCACGGCTGCTTTGGGTCTCCATCAGCAATGCACAAGGGGCCATTTTAAATGTCTTGGTGACGCCATTACAACTAAAATGTACTATAATGGGGGAGTGGGTTCACGTATGGCTCCCCGCTAAGGCACTTTTTTCTGAAAATTCAGAATGCGCTGCCTTCGCCTTCACTTTTAGGTTATTATGGCTACGGCCCAGCACGGTGGCGAGCGGCCACTGCTGCTTCGCAGTCACCAGCTGCCGTGCATCAGTAGTGTGACTCGCGTCGCAAGCGTATCCCACACCGTTGCAGCAGCGTTTGTGCGGGAGGCACTACGTTAATTTTGGTGAACACCCTGCTCGCGGCAGCAGGGCTAGCTTCAGTGCATTCTATTCTTTTTGCAACAAGATTAAGAGTAGCTAGTGAACAAATGGTTAAAAACAACGCCCGAGACGCGGTGCACCGAGCAGTCACCACAGATGCTGCCGACGGCTCCACCCCCAGCCCAATAGCCTGGATGAGCTGGGGCTTCAGGTGAAGGCAACTGCAGTGCCACTGCAAATTTCTAACACTTTTTGCTTTCAGTTGGCCGCTTACCGTCCTCCCATTCTAGTACACTCTGGTTACAACTAGCTATACTGTTGCATGAAGTCACCAGAATTGGCACTGTAGCACGACGTCACGACATCTTCAGTGTCAATAAATGTGCCACGCTACAGTCAACTTTCATGTCAAAATAAAACATCTTGTACTTACTGCGCTTCACGCTTACTCATAGCCAGTATATGGCATATTTGTATGGTGAAGTAAATTTGCCTCTGAAAATTGGTGTCAGTATCCCTTTAATACAAAGCAAAGGAAGCGAGAGCTTTTATCTTCAAGTTGTCGTGGGGAATGCATAACTGACCCGTTGATTTTTTGGTTTTGTGCGCAGGTACGGTGGGCTGACATAGAGGAGAGCAAACAGCAGAAGCGCATGCGGGACATTGGCTTTGTTGTGGGCCAGACGGACTGGTCCAAATTCACCGACCCCACCCAAGCAGAAAAGGCACTCACACGGACCAAGTACATCTGAATCATCCTCCTCCCACGTTCACTCATCCGAAAGAAAAAAAAAGCACATGATCGCCCACTCGAATTGTGCATGCCTGTCTCATTCTCGACGAAGGTTTTTTTTTTTTCCATCACGGTGTATGTTGTGCCCGGCGTTGAGGACACTTCGGAGCTATCTTCCACATGTGGCATAATACCGATGAAGCAGCTGTCAACAGGACAATTGTTGCAGTGACCTGAATGCACTTCAATACTATTAAGGAAAAGTGATTAAATGATGTCCTTTGGAAGCTGAGGTTTTTTTATTACGATTGTTTACTGTCTAGCCAGTGCCTGACAATCTTAAGTATTTAAGCCAGTGTATATGATGTCATACGTGCACCACCCTTCAAACACTGGTGCTTTACCACGATGGCTATTTGTTGATGTCAGTGTGTGTATCTAATACCACGAAACGCTGCTCGTATGTGCGTGTGTACAGTCAGCCACAAAACTTTACGAACAATGTGAGCGCATGCAAAACCTCCTGTCTGCGCCACCTAGCGGTGCACCATCTATCGCCGACAGCAGTGCTCGGCCAGAAACGTGTCTTCTTCGTATTTACTGGCCTTTCAATTTTACTGCCGCGCAGCGCACTGTTAGTCCGCAGTTTTCATGCACGGCACTGAGCATGACCGTCACATTTCTATTTTGGTACTAGGATTAAAGCTATCTCGTTGAGCCTCAAACGGCGTTCCGTCGGCTAGGTATCACTTTGTGACAAAGATTGCGACAGATGACAGTTATGTTCATAGACTGTTTTTGAGGCAGAAGCACGTGGATGCAGATGCAAAATAGCACATTATGTTAAAAGCAGTAAGGTGAAAATTGTTTGTACCCAGTCAGCAAGCAGACAGGTTATAGATAAAGAGAGGAATGTGTCTCGGGCGCCGCAGTGCTGTCAATCGCCACTGACGTAGCCGCAGTGCTGTCAATCGCCACTGACGTAGCGGAACTGTCGCGAAGAGGCTTGAATGTGCACTTTCTAATGTCATTGAGACGTAGTTGGAACACAAGATGGGGTAGCAGAACTTACGGCAGAACCATGACAAATACAACTTCCCAGCATTGCTGGCCCTCCAACATGGCAGTCTAGATGAAACCAGTGCAGGTTTTCTGTACTTAACCAATCTCCTTCGAGGCAACAACACTGGACATTTCTACTAGAATATTTGTGAAGAATATTTGGATGCAAGAACATGGTTTTGCATAGGCAGCGTGTGGAATGAACTGCGCTTTCTGGCCGTTGTGCTGCATACAGCATCACACAGCCAAAGTGCACTGAGTGCAAGAGTAACACAGAATTTACAAAGAACTTCTGAATGTGCAGCATTATACATCACTGTGTGTGCAATTTACAGTGGTAGTGTTTGCATCAGAACAGTGGCAAGCAGCCATGTAAAGGTTTTAGCGATAGTGCCACACAGCGATGCCCTTAATCTCCCGAGACAAGCCTGTTGAGCAGATTGGGCACGGATGCCGCTGAGCTGGAAGAGCTGCTTGCAGCAGGGGCTTGGTCCTCTTCTGCGGTAGCCTGTCCCATTCGCGATTCGCTCGCGGATGAAGCGCTTCTTTGCATTGAGCACCAAACTGAACTTCGCATAAAGCTCAGTCTCTAAATCCTCCTTGAGGCGCAAGCTCCTGCAAGAACATTTGTGAACAGTGAACAACAGTTAGATTTACGACTGCTCTGGCATAAATGCCTGGCGTAGAATGATCTATGAAGAGCCTTCTGCCTGAAACAGCTGTACAATAAATGCTTTTATTGCTTTGTAGGGGATGATTTTCCAAATACTGTTTCCATACCCCTCCTTTTTTTTTCTTCCTTTTTAGTTTTTACCCGGCTCGGCCACAATATGTGTGGCCATCCATTTCAAAGGATACAGCCACATGATCATCATGATGCATTGCGGTTAAGGGACAGTGAAGACAAAACAGACTAAGTGGGTAGAAATAACCAGGAGGAGGCCAAGCGATTAATAGCTACAGTAAAATTTAATCCTTCAAAACATAGTAATAGTAGCTGACTTTATGGCTAGGTGGCGTGAGCCGCCGCAAAGGTAGCATATACAGTAACTCTAACCGATCTAAAGAATGCAGCATTATCCATACATCCATCCAAATTACGTTGTGGCTAAATTTTCAACCAATCGAAGAGGGAGTAGCGGCTCTGTGGGCCAAACAACATGGCAAAATTTCAGTGTCCAGATTAAACCGACGCTTCACTTTGCTACTAAGAATGGTTCTAGGAAAATGCTAACGCAGTAACGACACATGTATGGCAGCTGCAACTGCACTCGAGGGTCAATTTCTCGCCTTTACCGAACGCATAGCAGCCAGCTGAATATGAACCGTTGACCAGCGTTACTGCTACGAAAGCGCAAGCTCAGCCTCCTGGCCAAGAGAATGCATTGGGCCTGCAAGAACGAGTACCTTTGCAATGCGTCCAGCGTCCGCGCCTGCTCGGCCTGTGTCCGCTGTAGCCTTTCGCCCAGGCTTTTCAGGCTCGCATCGCGTTGCTCCACGATGCGCATCGCAGCTGCGAGCAACCTGGCTCCGCCGTCGGGGTCTCGCCGCAGAATCACCTCGTTCAGTCTAGACATCATTTCGTGCGACACCCGTCGAAGCCACGAAAGGCGCGCTCGCTCCTCGCCGACCGGACGGAGCCGGTACACGAACTCGCGACCGCCTCCCGCGGCGAGCGCCGCGTGGAATGCGCGTGCCTTCTCCTCTGGCCCGTCGGGTATCTGCGCGGTGCCGGCGAAACATTGACGACCGTCGCCGAGTAAAAGCTCGTACTCCGTTGGTTCTGCGGCAGAGGGCTTTGCTACGGTGTGGAGGTAATAGCGAGCGCCTTCAATGTCGATCGCCTGAACGAACTCGTCCACTGAAGACTCTCCCCGATTTCCGCTCGTTTCGCACTCGTCTCGATCCTGCGAAGACATACTACCGCGTAGTCTGTTTATTTACCTTTACGTACTACGTTGCGCAGCCTAAACATACCGCGAACCGTCAAGGACTGAGCATCGGAACCTTGCATGTAACGCACGAAGACCGCGCACGGAACTTTGGCTTTGACTTGTGTTGGTTTTGTAAGTCGCGCGTAGCCGAACTCAAAGTCTATATGCAAAGTGTGCCTCGAGCAAAACCGGTAAATAATAAAATTACGGTACGCTTTCAGGTGTCGGTCAAACCGTATACGTTATTTGTTAAGTGTACAAATTTTGTGTGTGCGCGCACATCAATGAATATTTGCCGCACGGCTTGCTTCTGACACTGAGCGTCCAAAATGGCGCCGGTCGCACGGTGTCCGTGGCTGTGAAACTGTGAAAAGTTCAAAATACGCTTAACACGCCTCAGTTTTAACCCCAACCGCAACCTCGTTTACAGCTGCTCGGCTGCGACCAGCGATTTATAGACACCCACCATGGCTGCCAACATGTACCGCGTTGGAGGTATGTGACTTTGCCGGTGGGTCGGGCACTCTCGTTAGTTAGGGTTAATCAGAACATCAAATTAATGATTTCCCAATGTGACGGAGCTTAAACTTGGTACAACGCTCCAGTGAATTGCGTCATTTTCTTCTTTGAGAAGCACTAGACCGGGAAAGCACTATTGTGCATATTCGTTCGTCGTCTTTATATATATACATATATTTTTTTTTGGGGGTGGGGGGGGGGATGCCGGTACGTTTAGCGTGAGCTTGATCCCGTCATTTGAAACTTACCCGAAATCGCTTCATCTCGTGGCACTTTGGTAAACCTGTTCGTGGTTTTCTCGCGTTGTCACGAAAGCATCAGACGTGCAAAAGACGGTACTAAGAAATGTTCGTTTGATGTTACTTTGCATTTGGTGCCTGGTGGCACTTGTGCATGAAACAAAATGAGTGCATTGCGTTAAAAACGACGGCATCAGCCCTGTAATTGGTGCCAGTTTTGGTTCTGAGATTTTGTTAGCTTCCTTGCTTACATTAAGAAAATGCCTATTAGCCAAACAAACGTAGGAGGTTACCACTTACTCTGTTGTAACAGCTGCATAATTTCTTTCGTGTGCCCCTGTGGGCATAAGTGAGCACGAGTGCATGACGCAAATGCAGTTCGGTAAGCAAAAAACAAAAAAAAAAAACCCTCACGATTTTCGTTTTTTGATTAAGTGCAGTGCAGGCAGGTATGTTCAGTTTCTGTCATACGTCACTGGCTACAAATGGCGCATTTGTTGGCATCAATTCTTACCGTCATTTTGAAAAGAGGAAAATTAATATTCTTGCCGGTTGTCATCGGTATCCTATGCTCAGTAGTAGTTGCTCGGTTTTCTACCTTACAGTGGCTAGTAGCTTTGTGTGACCATAGAAATGATACATTTTGAACTACTGTAGCTCTGTGACGAGATGGCCAGACGTAAATTATGATGGCTAATGACTTTATTGGTGAAATCACTTCTTTGTGGCCTCTATCGAGATCAATATATTCCTCTCAGCTGACGGTGGCTGCGTTTGTGTATGCAACTTGTTTATGCTAGTTGTGTCAACTGGTGATTAGAAGAGAGAAAGATATGCAACATGTTAGATAAACTGAACCTTCCTATAGTAAATACGGCTTGACTTAACCTCAATGTGCTGCGTGTGACTGTAGCCGACCATTTTGTCGGAGGCACTACAATGTTTGACAGGTCCATTCGCTGTGCCTGTGTCGATGGTATTGCTTTTCTTTACTCGAAAGGAATATAAACAAAAACTACTTGCACACACATTTGGGGCCTATGTTGTCATTCATTTTACATTATTAAATTGGAACATGACTGACTAGAGTAGAAGTAAATATTTAATTACATGCATATTGCAATTGATTATAATGCTCCCACCAAACAAAAAATTGCTTTGTTTTCCATATTGGGATGTAATATTGATTACCTTGGAATTATGCTATGTGAGTTTGACGCATTCGCAGACAGTGCCACGTAATTGGTGCCTGAATGGGATTTTTTGATGACTGTGTCATCAGCTCGTCTTTGGACATGTTCCAGCTTGGTATAGATTAGCAAGGGTGTGTTAAACTCAGAGTTTCCATTGCCGAATTAATTGGCAGTGTCTGCTACAGCTCAACACTCCTGATAGCAGTGAACAGTGTACCCATGTGCAGACGTAGTGACAGTCGATGCAGCTGGTTTGGTCTTCCAATTTTCACATCATCTGGCAAGCTTGCTACAAATGCCACCCTAAGAATTTGCTTTAAGCAAATGTCTTTGTTGCAATATAAGGAATTAACAAACTGTTTCATCAGCAGGGATGGAAGTGCTGCTCCAATTGCTCCATAAGAGAAATGCTAATCCATGGTGCTCCAAAGTGCAATATTTATTAGTAGCTGCTCTGAAATGGCATTGTAGAAACTAAAACAGTAAATTTAAACCATGTAGCCATATATCGAGCCTAAATAAAAATGAAAGCTTTACACTGTCATCTAGTGTACAGCTTGTATAGTAGCTGGATGTAGAATATTGACAATGCTACACATATATCATTTTCTATATATGTCTGATAGAGTTGTATATTTGTACCTTACAAGTAGATGATTTTTGTGAAATACTTACGAGACTTCTTATTTGTACCGCCCGCTGCAGGGATGACATTACTATGTGACTGATTGCATTTAGTGCTTTCATCAACTGTGACCTCGTTTATGTTACAAAACTAAGCATTTAAATTGTTAATTCATTTAGCTTACCTAATTTTTCAAAATTTCGATGGATGCTTTTGCAAAAATATAACACTTACTTGGTATCAACTTCAATGACCATCTATCAGCATAATATATTTCGTGTAATTTGCAGTGATTACTGTATATACAATGTGGTTAATAATAAATATGAATATTTATGAGGAGTCCCTTGGAATATATTGCTATCTGCTTCGAAAACACTGATGGCTGCTCCAGGCTAGCATTTTTTCTGCTCCGAAGAACCATTTTTCCTGCTTCAGAAATCCAAATGCTGATTCCATCGTCGCCTCAGCAGATTCCTTAGTTTGGTCTGTTGCTTTTGCATGTTATTGTAGCTTTATCAGAGGTTACCAAAAAGAAAAGACGACAGGCATAGAACGTCTAAATTATCAAGTATGCTCCTTTAGTTTTCTTTGAATGAGCTGGAAAAGTCGCTAAGCTTTGTGATCTTGTTGTTTGCCTTGTTATAAAAAAAGCTAGTTTCATCATGTCTGAAAAAAATAGTTTCTAAAAATATATCACTGTACCTCTCTCTCTGCTTTGTGGAATTAGCATGTAATCATGCAAGAAGATGCAATGTTTAGGCTTCATGCGTATATGCATATATTTTTTTAACTGTTGACTGCTATGTCACACTGATATATAATTCGGAGAAAAATGTGAAATTGAGTGCTTTTTGAAAATTTTAAAATTAACAATTTCTCACTTATAATTATCCGGTTACTAGACATTGGTCAGCCCTCACATACAGCACACGAGCTGAGATTGGTCAGGACTTGTTTTAAAAGCTACGCAAACTTATAGACTTTTGGCATCTAGGGGATAGATGTGGTGCTGTGCATTGGCTTGCTCTATTCTTTTTGTTGTTTCAGCTGCCACATTGTTATTATATGCAGGAGTAATGTACACCAAACTCTAATATTTATTTGTATAAATTCGGGGTGTGTAAATTATCAATGTTAAAATCCAATACGAATTGAATAGCCATGATACTGAATCAAATACTATTAGAATAGTAAGGCAACCGTTCTCAAATCATCCATATAATAATATTGCAACAATATTCGAAACAGCCCAAGGTTACCAGAACATGTTATTTGAAACAGATATTGACAAGCGCCGACAAAAGAATAGTGCAATTAATTCGAAGTGACAACACAAAAATGCCACCATTGTTTAAAACTGAGGTAAGCCCTATAATAGCCACTACACCCTTAGAAATTATATAAATAAACTGCAAGTTTAAATACAGCAATGAGTACAGTGCTTAAGGTGGCACTTTGCCTACAGCTTTTCAGTAAAACTAATTTTTAAATATTAAACAATATTCACGAGTCATGACCAAGATAGTGGATTAATGGTTGTGTCGCTTCGGCTGACACTGGAGTACCAAACAACAACACCTTCACCCTGTGATGTAGAATCAATAGTCCTGTAATACCTTGGGCTACTAGCATCTTACAAGTGCGATGATCAAAACAAGATAGTGCTACTCTTCTCTTTCAATGTATCATTGTTTTGAAGTTTTTTTTTTTCAGTGCCTATTTTTATAAAAATATTCAGTTCTCTAATATGCACCATTTTATTCTATTTGTAAGTTGCAATCATCCCTAATATACAATCAACATATTGACCCTCATTACTATAGGTTATCAGGATATCTGGTTTTCGTTATGATGTCATTATAATGTCAATGGCACCAAGTTTGGCATTTCTGTACAACTTCACCAAAGATTCTTGTTTCCAATCTCCATTTTTGCTATATCACAACCTCTAAACTCTTACGATAGTAAATAAAAGAAATACACCGACCATGAAAAATGCTAAAAAGATATTTCAGCTACCCTGATGGGAGCCTTGTTCACAACCAGATTGTGATTGTGAACAAGATTTCTGTCCGAAGGCTCTTGTCAGGGGAGCTGAAAAGTCTTTTTGATATTCTTTTTCATGGTCATTGTCCTTTTGATTCTATCGTGTTACTACCAAACCAGACGAGCTTCTGTCAAAACCTCGACTTTTACCATGTTTTTTGTTTTTTTTTTTTTGAAAATGAGAATTATAAACGAAATTGAAGGTGTGCCAAGCATGAAATTGGCATTTCAATTTTGCACAAGAATACTCTGTGATTTTGAGACATTTAGCAGAGACTCATCACTGCATCTCTTGTAGTTCAACTGTTGATTCAAAGGTGTAGTTATTATAGAATATTAGTATGACAGAAAGCTGAGCTACTTGACAAGCTTGTGGGCATTTGTGGTGTCCTGACTTTTTTTGTTTGCGTTCGTGTTTTACACATCCAATTTTAAAAAAATATGTTTGTTGCCAGTGAAATGTCGTGGTATGTTTGACATTAATGAAAGATGTGCTGTATTGATTGTGGACCTGTAACTACTAGCCATTGAGTAGTTCTCAAGCAGTTAGTAACTGAATTTTTAACTGAGTTGTGCTAAGCCTCTTCTGCTGTAAAGCAGAGTACTGTGTGTCATGAAAGCCCCATTTGCTTGTTAAGGGAGGAGAAGGTACGAAGCGTAGACACGCTAGTGCTAAAGAAATCAATTATGTCCTAGCCTTGAGGAAGAAAGTCTGCTTGTCAGAACGTCGGCTCGACACAAGCCCCTATTTACGAATTTATCACAAGCTTCCATCTTCTCCTTCCTACCATTTTATGGATTACCAAGGCTTTAAGTTTAAAAAAAGTGTTGCTATTTAGCCATCTGCTGCTGATCATACCTCATTATAAATGTGCCTTGGAAGCTTACAAATCTTTATACTCGTATTTGTTCATAATTCACATGGCCCACTTGTGAACTGGTTGCTGTAATGGAACTGGTTGCTGTAATGTTACAAGTCTAGAAAGTGTGCTTGCATAGGCAGTGAAGTGATTTTGCTTTTAAATTCCTGTCGCACAAACTCTTCGCATTGGTAAAGATTGTTGACTTAATGTTTACTGGTCCTTTCTAAACTGGGCTTTGTCGGGTGTGTGCAATACTGCTCCTGGAGGCTTTTGTTTATGCAATCTTATTTTATCTTTCTGTAGACTATGTCTTCTTCGAAACATCATCCACTGCTCCATTTCAAATAAGGAGGATCGAGGAGCTCGTTAAGGTGAGCCTCCATTGTGTATATCTTGGGGACAGTGCAAAATCCCGTCTTGTAAATGGGGTCGTACAGCCATTGCTTTCTGGCATTTGAACAAGCTGCTACCATCATTGTATGAACACTGAAAAACTGGCTGTCTACATGATTTGTGGAGAAAATCATTGTAGAGCTGTGTGTTGGGCTTATATGAAAATCATGCAAGGAATAATAATTTACCTACCTTAGATCACTATCGAGCCAAATAGTGACTGGAATTCCTCACAAACGTTGACCCATGTCCACAGCATACCAAAGGAAACTGCTCACCTGTAATTGAGCAGTGTTTCTTCACGAAAGATGTCATTTTAAAGGCCCTAGTTCCCACCATGCACATGTTTATGAGCAGTGCAGCAGTGATGTTTGCCCAGTTAGGTGAGTGTTGCGTTTAGGTTAAAAGAACAGTAAAGAGAATTCTTTTTAGAATAAGTAAATTGAAATTTCACAATACTGAAAACACCACCTATTCTGTGAGAAGATGCTTGGTAAGCAAGGAAGCGCGTGAAAAATAAATACAGGTGGCGGCACCGCCTTGAAGTTTGTGTATCAGTGCAGTGTGATGTCATAGATTTTGACGGCGCCTGCTAAGACCCACGTAATCATTTATCAGCAAAAATTGCTTACATTGTATTCTTATGGATCCAGAGTCTTAGCATGGCAAGTTTTAGAAAATTATATCGAACAAATGTGCCAGAAGGTATTGAAGTTCGTAACATCACAGTGACATTTACGTGCTTATGTTCAGGCTGGAAGTTCAGAAATGAAACTTTGACCTTCTGGGGTCTTGAACTTGGCGAACGCCACGCCACGCTCTTGGAGAGTGTCGGGTCTCGAACTTGGCGAGCGCCACGCCACGCTCTTGAAGTGAACGGACACAGCAGACGCGGTCGGTACAAACCAAACAACATACACACATTTATTTAACTAAGTTACAAGGACGATATTATCCGCCGAATCGATATATCAATCGTTATCGACAACCTAAGACATCCATACGCAATATTGCCATAACGCCAAAACATGACAAACACAATAACACACCCAAGGCGGCGGCGCCAACGTTTGACTTACCGCGAGGGCCCCCTGACGTGCAGGGCTGCGGTACCGCGCGCTGAGGACCCACGCTAGAGACAACCATTCGCGGTAACCGCCACGGGCCGAAGAGACTCGCTCAACCCTCACCCGCAGCTAAGGCTTGCTTCCGCCAGGGGTCACCGTAGGCGCTACCACTACTCTACCAACCATGATGATAGTGGTGTTCTGCGCGAACACTACACCATCTATCGCCTGGTGGTTGTAACCCAAAATGCGGATTTTGAGCGAGACACGTTGCGCCACACGGCGCAAACAACTTTACAGGGGGTGTCAGCACCCTCACAACCTTCATTTTATTATTCGACCTGTGATGTCGAAATAAATCACAATAGTGTCCTGAGAGAATAATTTATCTGTGCTAATCTGACTTTCACGTTAGTTTCACTATAGTGTCTCTTTAAAGTAGGTAGATTCAATACACTTTGACTGCCTAGTTGGTGCTTACTGACAAGAATTGCCTTAGCACAAGAAAAATCCAGCACACAAGAAAAACACAGAAGGGTGAAGTGCTTGTATCCCTTGTCTGGCTTTCTTGTGTGCTGCATTTTTCTTGTGATAAGTAATCCTCGTCAATAGTTTGCTTGCTTGCATTTTGGTCGGGGAGAAAGCTAAGATTTTCAACGTGTTGTGTGATTTACATTTCCCTGGCTGCATCTTGTCTATGCTGAAGGCAGAATGACCACAGAAGTGGTGGCCGGTGCAGTGCCTGAGGTCATTTTATCACTACGTGGGAAAAAGTTAGCGATGACCAATTAGGCAGGTATAGCCAGAGCTGACAGTGCCAAGCAACTCACAATACTAAAAGCCTGGCTCAATCCTTGCAGACTGCCAACGGAAACGTGGAGGCCAAGGTGATGTGCTATTACCGCCGGCGAGACCTGTCGCTCGAGAAGCCATTAGTCGGTGCTCTAGAGGAAGAGCAAGAGCGCGAGGCCGAGCAGCTGACCGAGAAGGAGCGGCACCAGTTGCGTCACCGCGAGCTATTTTTGTCACGCCAGGTGGAAACACTGCCAGCAACCCACATCCGGGGCAAGTGCTCCGTCACCCTGCTCAATGAGACTGAGTCACTGCTCTCGTACCTCAACAAGGAGGATGCCTTCTTTTACTCGCTTGTCTACGATCCCCAGCAGAAGAGCCTGCTGGCCGACCGGGGCGAAATCCGCGTGGGCCAGCGCTACCAGGCCGAGGTGCCCCCTTGGACTGGGCCACCGACCGAATCGGGCGAGGGGGCTGATGACCGGGATAGCGCCCTGCTGGAGACCCTGGTGTACATCCCATCGCACGGTCTGTCGGATCGCCAGCTGGATCAGTTTCTCATCGTGTGCCGGTCAGTGGGCACATTTGCGCGGGCCCTCGACTGTTCAAGCTCCGTGAAGCAGCCCAGCCTCCACATGAGTGCGGCGGCGGCTTCGCGGGACGTGACGCTGCTGCACGCCATGGAGCTGCTGCATCGCACGGGCTACGACCTGGCGCGGGCGGTGGCGGCCCTGGTCCCCCCCGGTGGGCCTGTGCTCTGCCGTGACGAGATGGAAGAGTGGTCCGCCTCGGAGGCCAACCTCTTTGAGGAGGCCCTCGAAAAGTACGGCAAGGACTTCGCAGATATCCGCCAAGACTTTCTGCCCTGGAAGAGCCTCAAGAACATTGTTGAATACTACTACATGTGGAAGACCACCGACCGATACGTGCAACAGAAGCGAGTAAAGGCCGTCGAAGCAGAAAGCAAGCTCAAACAGGTCTACATCCCCAACTAGTGAGTGTTCTCTCCCCCTTCAGTGCCTTCTCATCTTCACATCTGGCTTGTGGCTGTTCTCCCTCCTGCTGCAGCATGGACCTTGCTTGTCAGTCTGCAACTGCTCCTTGCATGCTGTTTGGCTGGTTGGCATGGCAAGGATAGTTGTGCGGCATTTTGCAAATCATTCAACTTCATGCAGCAACAACAAAGCCACGGGTGTCCTTGGGGGACCTGAAGGAGCCACAGCTGGGGGCCGGCCCTGTGAGAGCTGCTACAGTAAGTGCCCTAGCACCTGCTTACTGCTCAGGTAGAAGCTTGCCTCACAGGCACATTTTCATTTGGGTTGTACATGCCCTAAACGAAGGTATACTAGCCCTTTGAATGTTGTTGCTGTAGAATCACAATGATAAGGTCACGACTCGTGTGACCACAGCTAACATGCATGTATAAAACCAAGTCAAAGCCATACCGAAATTAACTTTTTTCCCCTTTCTTTGTTACGTGCAGCTTAGTGTTTCAGTGTTTGTGGTTACTGCGAGGGAGCTAATGCGAGAGCAGCCTATAGACAAATATTTTGTCTATCAGCTTTGCTTGCAGGTGTACTGTTTTGCTTTTTTATATTCTGCTAAATTATTATTACTTTAAGAAAATTGTGTGCTTCTATAGCATACTATTTATATTTGCTTGCACTAGTACAATGTGCAGGCTGTTTCTCACTTAGGGAAAAACTCTAAAGTTGTGGCATAGTGATGCGGGGAGTGCTAGAGTTTAGTGGCAGTGCCAGCTCGCCCATTCGGAGGCACTCCGGATGGAGTCCTGAAGCACGTCCTTTTCTGCTGTGACATGCACTGGCTGCATTTACCGAAACTGCGCTACTTGCAGGCACTGTGCATGGATGTCATCAGTTACTGGTAGAACTGAGCCGCTAATCTCTACAAAACATGCACGACTCGGACCTCGGAGCCTTGACTGGCAACTCTAGGATACCGAGAGCGTGCATGTATTTTTTTTCACTGCGTGTGCTGCCGTAGTACGCAGCACCAAGAAACTGGCTCCAAAACGGGCTCACAATGACCTCAGTCTTCGAGCATTGCTGCACAATGTGACACACTTGCCGACAATGCGGCCAGCGCACAACACCACAGCGGATGACACAGTTCAACACTGAGCATTTTAAGCATTTGCATCTGTGCGAGCTGTTGTTGACAAGTAACTGCGACCCCTGCTATATTGTGATGCTAGACACTCGGGTTTCCTCCAAGTGTGAAATACCTTGTACATGCACCATATTTACTGGTGTAATGAAACCACTTTTATTTTCCAAAAAGGTGATGCCAATCAGGGTGAAGGCTCATCACGGGGGAGAAGAAAAAAAAAAAAAGCCAAGGGAATTATAACAACAAAAATTTCGTATGACGATATTAAAAGCCTCGCTGTCCAATCGCTGCTGGCCTTCAATTCAATGGCAGGGCTATGGAACCTTTATGTGAAAACTTCTCTCTTTTCAAAGAGAAACTGTCCTTGTTTTTGCCCACGAAATGCGCAACGTACCGTTTTTGTAGCCCGAAGCTGTACATGCGCTATTTGCACAACCAAGCCGCGTGTGGCGGAACCTTGCTGCATGTCAAGTGGACGGCAAAAAAAAAAAAAAAGTGAATGCACACATGCTATCTGCACAGTTGTGGCAAACGTGCCGGGACACCTGCCGCAGGGTCCCGGATAGCGCGACGCGGCTGTGCGGATAGCGTGTGTACAAGCCAATGTGCATGGATCGACGCCAAAAGTGCGATCCAGCCGCTCTGTTCCTATGCTCCAACGCATGCTTGACCAACTTTAAGTTGAAAACAGGCTATGTTGCTAGTGTACTGGCTGATCATCAATCAACAAAAATCCAACATCAAATGGCGGCGCACGCACTTTGCCGGTGCACGTCGCACAGTGGGCGCAATTTCACTTTGTGTTTTGCTTTGTTTTCGCGCTGCTGTGCTTGCGTAGTGCCATAAGCTGTAGGTATCGTAATAGGCTGCCTACTGTAGGTCTGGATAAGTATCATTTTGTCCAAATAATGCTAGCTATTGTATAAAACAAAGGAATAAAGTTGAATTGAAGGATGGGCTGAGCTTCGGTTAAGCGCTTCTTTGCAAAGCACACTGACACAGCCTACGCTGTCTTTGCAGCCATGAACTCGGCCCAGTGGTATGCGTGGGGGCCTGCGCACATGCAGTGCCGTCTCTGCCAGTCCTGTTGGACCTACTGGAAGAAGTTTGGTGGCCTCAAGTATCCAACCCGACTTGGTGAGACTATAATCACCAGCAGTTGTTGTGGAAGCAGCGGTTTGCCAGAAACTTAGGCTCATGCATAATCTGTAGCAGTTAAAAGACCTAACCTTATTGCCCCCTTCTTCTTGCAAGGTTATTATTAAACATTATTGCCCTAACCTGCAAGATTTTGGTTACCTGGGCTCAGGTCAAAGAGAATGAGGAAAAACGTTTCACGTCACATTCACAGTGAAAAATAACTCAATAATCGAAGATGTGAAAGGAGTCCAGTAGGGCAAAAAAGATTTCCCTGCAGTACCTTGGGCCCAAGGAACATTGAAATATTTGAGACGATTGAGAAAGAGCAGAAGGATGCTACGTCGCTGTGCAGAATCCTTCAGGTGAAAATCTGTTCAGCAAGGCTGACACTGCTTTGTGCTCATGCAGAGTCGGCGGATGTACTGGGCTCAGAACGGCTGCCTGCGGGCATGGCGTCGCATCGGCCCCATAGGTGCACTGTAACCGGTTGTGGGAAGGTGAGTGGTTTAGCCTCAGAAAACTTGCCAGTGCTTCTCCTTCTGGAAGACAGTGTGAGCACACTTTCATTGATTGACTGTTTTTTGTAGGAGTTCAAGCTAAAGGCCCACCTGGCACGCCATTGTGCCACAGCCCATGGCCTAGCGCTGCGTGCTGGCAGCCCGCGGCCCGTGGTCAAGACGCGCGCCGCCTTTTACTTGTGCACTACGGCATTGACACGCATGGCACGGCGACTGGCAGGCCCAGCGGCACTGCGGCCCCGGCACGCAGCACGTAATCCGTTCTTGCCAGTCAATTCGGCAGCGATCCGACTCGAAGTGCAGGGTAAGCTGGACCCGGCGGTTCTGGCAGCCACGCCGTCCGCAGCGGCTGCGGCGGCCGCAGCACTTGCCGCCGCACGCCGCAGGCCCCGTGAGCGCGGTGCCGTAGTCGATGTATCGCACCGACTGGGCACACCTAACTTGCCGCGGCCTGAGTGGCTACACCCAACACCGCGCGAGCAGATCCCAACACCTGTGCGGCACGCGTTTCCGCCCCCGGCTGAACGGCCCCCTCCGCTGTTGCTTCATCACCAGCCACCGCAGCAGCAGCGCAAGCGACCCGCCCCAGAGCCCCTAAACGGTCCACCAGGTGGACCTCGGCGCCGACTGGGACCGCCTCCTCCAGCCGTGCCCCTGAACGGAGGCCGACCCAAGGTGGCCACCATCACGCGGCTGGGGGGCGGCCGCAAGCACCTTATTTCTTGGGTGGATGCGCCCGACGACCTGTACTTTGTCGCCACCGAAGCCACCAGGTGAGGGATGTTTGTGTTCAGGAATAGAGTACTTTTGCATTACTATTAGTAGAATAATTTGACTAAAGCCTTAAAAGAGTTGCTTTCAAGTTATATCAAAGCAAGCTTCTGTGTGTGCTCTTTAATTTCTATGCTGTCGTAGCCCGTGGGATGCAGCGCATGTCATATTTCTTGACTACAAAACATTGCTAAAGTGCAATCTGGCAGAAACAAAATTGAGGAAATGTTTCCCCGCACATTTTCTGCTTGCGCAAAGTTGACATAATCCAAAATGCACTCCAGTGTGCTTGCTTCACTCTTCGCGGCTATTCCCGCCTGGTAATCTGCCGGAATATTTTTTACTTGGCGGTGGCATGGATCGGTGCACCTAAATTGCTATTAATTCTGAAACAAACATCACAGAATAACAAACTTTGTTTTATTTGCTTAACAATACTTGACTACTTCAGGTGCTTCAGTATGATTTTCGTGTGCTTGAAAAAGTTTAAAGCACACGGGCATGTGAAGAGCAACTTCACATTTTTCACACTCCCGTCAGCTCTTGAACTTTTTGAGCTGTGCCTTGCAAACAAAGCAAAGTCTTAATGCATTCTGCTTGACATTGTTCGCTAAAATGTGGCAAAAAAATTGAGCCCATTTGGTAGCTTGTAAGCGCAATGGTGATTCCTCGACACCACGTTTCTTCTGCGACGCCATGTTACGAAAAAGCTGAGTAGTGCACACATTCCCCCCCCCCCCCCTCCAAAAGAACACTTACAAACAGTTGAAATACATGGACAACTATTTTAATTTAGCGGATAATAAACCGAGCAAAAGGCAAATACAAGATACTATGCTGCCATCTATGAAACATTGTCAGACATAAGGATTTTTTGGGCGGCTGGTGATTCACTGGCTCAAAACGCTTTTGGCCTCGCCAACCCGGCTGGTTGATCACCGGCCGCGGAAGCCAATAGGTGACTGTCCTGACAGCTACCACATTGCACTTGTGTGGGTACTGCCATCTTTTTTTTTTTTTTTATGGTCACCATGGTGTCAGAAGCAATCTCACGTGCCAGACATTGTCTTTGCCACCGTGTTGCTTGTTTGAACTAATATTGTGTGTGTACTGAACATGCGTGCTTGTTACATTCTAACGTGGCACATGCAAACAGCCGCATTTCAGTGTAGCCACATCTCGGTTCGCTTGAGGGGCAAGGCGGCTCGCAGTGGTGGCGTTCTTAGGCTGCTGTGCACAAGTAGTGTTGCTCACACTTCTGCGTTTCAAAGAATATGCTTGGGGCCCATTTTAGCGATGTTTTGCGGCAGCTTTGGAGAAGTGTAGCCAAGCATCGTGGACATGTATGAATTGGATGCTTTTGAAATATTGTGGGCGTTCTTCGGAACACCCCATTGCAATGTATCGTAATACAGCTTGCTGCATTGTGAAGCAATATCTGTTCTGTGCATTTATTACATAGAAACAGTTTACAAGGCAAGTGAACTGAATTTTAACATTAAATTTTAATTTTTTTGACAGTTTCTATTGTTGTACTGTGTTATTGCGTGATTAGCGAAATTCTACGGATTTCCTAAAGAATTATTACGGGTAATAGAGCAAACGCTGTGCTTGCAGACGTCAACTCTCAAAGCCGATGTTGTTTGAAGTAGTACTGACACAAAGTTTCGAAGGCGAGATCACTTGTGGGGTAAATTTGTGTGGACACACATGCATCATCTACGAAATAATTATTGATGATACAGTGGTCGAATGACAAATCGGACACTGATAATTCCGACATTCTCGGTAATTTGGACAGCCGTGCGGCACCGCGCATGGCCCCATAGAACTAATGTGTAACCACGACCGATATTTTAGACATCTGCTAGATCTGCATTCGATAATTCGGACTATGTCCGAAACTAGCACGCCCACCGAATCGGCCGTCGTTATCCCCTCCAGTGCCCATGCCACAATGTATGGTCTCAGAGACGAAAAACAAAAGCGAACTGGTGATTTGTGAGGCTTTCCGATCTTGGAGGCTCTGCTCAACCGTGGTAGGTCGTATCGACACAGTGAACACCACACGTTCCGGTATTCCCGCGCTACTCTGGCCATAGAGTTATTATGCAGACGGTATACAGGGTGTCCCACACAACTTGAGCCGAGAATTTGAAAGTAAAGGACACTTAGGACTTAGGAGGTGAATTGAACCAAACGTGTACTACTCGCACTAGCCTGTAAGTACTCAGGCTTTTTTGTTTCTTCCCATGCTATATAATTAATAATTCTTAATCACTTATTTTTTAATTATGGGCTGGAAGGCCAAAATATGAACACTGAGATGTAAAGCACTTTCAGAAATCACCAACTAAATTGTTTTCTGTACAATACGTCTCATGCTGGTATTTTTTCCACGCTGTAAAGAAAGCCCGCTAAACGTGAAAAGAAGCCGTATGACGGACCGCGAGCGCACTGCTATAGTGCTGCTATAGGCTTTCTTAACAACACGGAAAAAATAACAGCGCTAGACGTATTGTACAGGAAACAATTTTTTCAGTGGTTTCTGAAAGTGCTCTACATCTCAGTGTTCATATTTTGGGTTTTTAGCCCATGATTAAAACATGTAATTAAAATTAATAATTAATTAGTATGGGGAGAAATAAAAAATAGCCTGAGTACCTACAGGCTAGTGTGAGCAGTACACATTTGGTTCAATTTGCCACTGAAGTGTCATTTTCAAATTCTTGACTCAAGTTATGTGGGACAGCCAGTATAGTCCGTATATTATACTGTCTGTACTATATACAGAGTGTCCCACCTAAATTTAGCCAGAATTTATAAATATGCCGGAACACATAATTACGGGGCAACCAAATGCATATTGCTCACCGTTGCGTGGAGTTCAACTATTTTTTGTGTTATCAAATATTGTTTAATTAGATCTGTTTAACTAACTTTTGAAGTAACGAACATGGATAACAAATTTCAATGAGAAAGTCGTAGATCGGTTCGCAAAACATCTAAATAGATAGTTTTGAACTTTATATCTGTTAAGTATTAGTGTTTTTCTGCTAATTACAATTGCCCGTAAAATGAAAAAAAAAAAAAACACGTGACAAACCCGCTCGCACGTCAGTGCGCACAAATATTATAGTGCTTCCTGACGTTCTGCGTACAAACACATGCTTCCCTTGTCCCGGCTCATGACAGTGATAAGCAGTCACAGCGGTTATCGTTTTTTTGGCGGATAGCAAAACGTGTTCATCGTAAAGCCACCACCATCGTTGCGGCCCTGCCGAGACAGCGCAATGGGGAAAATGCCGGGGTCGTCCGTACGCGAAACGTTAGGGAGCACTACAATCGTTCCGCGCACTGGCGCACGAGCGGGTTTGTCACGTGGTATATTTTTTTGTATTTCGCGGGCATTTGTAATTAGCATAAAAACGCTCATACCTAACAGATATACCGTATAAACGCGTGTAAGGGCCGCACTTTTTTTTTTTCAGGAAATGAGGGCCAACTTTCAGGGTGCGGCCCATACACGGAACTTTTTTTTTTTTGGTGAACTAAAAACAATGTACCAGTTAGCGAACGAAGAGCGTTTATTGCAGTATGCCGCGTGTGCGCTTAATCGTCGTCACTCGGCGAGTCCTCTAACTCGGAGTCCGAGATGGTGTGTTGCGGAGCACCATCATTCCACAAACAGTCATCTTCGGTGCCATCCAGGCTGTTGGATATCCCAGTGACCTTAAAACTTCGGGACACAATGTCCGTCGACACCGAGCTCCACGGCGACAATACGCAATCGAGAACAGTAGCAAGCGGTGCCCTCTTCAGCCGTCCGGTCGGCGTCTGCTCATGGTTGCCGGTTGCCATCCATTCCATGTAGAGTCTTCGGAATTCAACTTTGAACGGTCGATTCACGCTCGCATCCAATGGTTGCAACATTCCTGCGAGGCCGCCTGGAATCACGGCCATGTCTGTGCCCACACGGCGCAGCTGCTCCTTCACCTTATCGGTAAGGTGGCGGCGGAAACTATCCAACACTAAAAGTGAATGTTTGGCCAACAAACTCCCGGTCTGTTCTGCCAAACACTTTTCACCCAGTCAAGCACCAAATCATCGTTCATCCATCCCTTCTCTTGGGCTCTAACTATGATGCCCTTGGGGAAAACTTCGTTGGGAATTCTTTTCCTTTTCAAAACAACGTACGGGGATAGCTTCCGCCCGTCCGCGGTCACACAAAGCATCACGGTGCAGCCTTGGCGCTCAGAGCCGGTGGTCCGCACGGCGACACTCTTCTTGCCTTTTACTTCGACTGTGTAGTTCTCCGGAGAGTCAAACCACACAGGAGTTTGATCAGCGTTCGCTATTTGCGACAACAGATAATTGTGCTGATGGCGCAGGCCGATGACATGCTTGTGAAAACTAAGCACCTTGTCGGTATAGTCTTCTGGCAGCCGCTGGCACAGCGTGGTCCTTCGCTGAAAGGAGAGTCCCTTCCTTTCAGAAACCTTCGCACCCAGCCAGCACTAGCCTTGAAATCCCCAGCCGGTATACTTTTCGCTCGAGCCAAGGCTAGTGCCTTCATGCGCAGCATGTTCGTAGTGAGCGCAAAACCATCGTTCCGCACCTCAGTCACATAGCGGAGCAACTCCTTTTCCAAATCAGGATGCTTGCACTGTTTTCCTCGGAAAGCGCGCTTTTTGATGTTGGCGTTCTGCGAGGCTTTCTTCTGAGCGCACCAACGTCGAACACACTTCTCGTCAACGTCGAATTTTCTGCCGATGGCCCGTTTCCCGTGCTCGAGAGCAAACTCGATCACCTTCAACTTATAGCCAGCTGTATAGCTATTCAGCTGCTTGCCCATCGTGCCAAAACGTAAACGTCCCACAGAAAACTAGCTAGGGTTCCAATTCAATGGTGCGCAAAACTCGAGCACATGGCAGGCTGAACAGCACAATAACCGAACAACGCACAAATACCAAAGTTGGTGATGCTAATGCCGATATGGATA